CTTGAATTATTGAGGATATGCATGTTACGTCAAGAGAATTTTTTATCTTGAGAATAAGCGATCAATATGGGTCCAAAACTTCGTTTCTGGTTGCTGTCTGAAATTTAGAAATGATTAAAAACATTTCAAACAATTTTGGATTGTTACTCGGTCATAGTTTAATATGGTTAACCCAACTCCTGACGTCATCAAAACCATAGTTAATGAGGTCAAGGATTAGTCCAAGATGGCGGGCAGCTCGTTAATTTCGGTCTAAATATTTCGAGAACTAAGCAAGATATGACAAATCGGTAATAGAGTTTAGTATATAATTTTAAGAGCTCTTTTGAATGAGACAAACTAATGCCAGTAATGGGTTAAGCAAGTCGGCTTTTGAGTAATCGGCCCAGCACCACGGCTGAAAAACCTTCATCAGAGTTATTCAACTATGAAAGATCTCGTACAACATTCTACATACACCTTCCACATTCGTGAATCACCGAATATGCAATTTTGTACTTTTGAGTCTTTTGTAATATTTTTGCTGTGCAACAAAATGAATTTTTAAAAACATTTTTATGGAGTTATTGTACTTGTCTTGAGGTGGGATTGATAGCAAAGAGAAACTGAGATCAGTTGTAATATTTTATTTACGGCAATTTATCCAACCCGAAGAGAACTGAAAATTTTTCCAAACCATTTTACCCAACTAGACAACATTATTCTGATATAAAGACTAAGTGCTGAATATGTTTTTGGTACTTTGTAATGCAGCTGAAAATCTGATTTCTGTTCATCCAGAGGCTGGTGGCATGGTTTCAGAGGCCATAAGGGCTAACTGCAAATTCAAAATGTCCCCTTCAAAACTGCAAAGCTCATTTGAAACTATATGAATTCTGGAGTTAGAGGACAACTACACAAAAAAACAGCCAAAACTCTAATTCCCAACCTGACATTTATATTCCGAAAAGATCGTATCACCCAATTAATTTCTTTTCTGTACCAAGTCTGGGTTGCGATTCTCTAACTATGCTCTATTCCGATTGGTTACAAGACTATTTAAGGAACGCATTTAATTGGATAAAATTCGTACTTTTTCCAAAAGTTACTGGCTCAAAATTTTTGGACGTAATAATAGGTATATACATGAAGTATTGGGGTAAGTTCGAAAAACTCAAAATGGCGGCCGTTTCGAAGGAGGAATATTTAAAACGTTACTTGTCAAACGCGGATTCTGGCGAGAAAAAGAAACGAAAAAAGAAGGTAAAAACTGGAATAAAAACTGGCATGTCTTGTATTATTGACGATGATGTAAATTTAAGCGATATTAAAGTGAAGCGGGACTCTGAGGTCGCTGAAAGTCTGCTAGAATTGGCCGACGAAACTCCACTCATATTCAACGAAACGGGGACAACCGTTTTGTCAAAAGATTTGGAGAGTATTAAAAGGAAAGAAGATGAGAAAAACGCCATGTGGGCACCGCTTGGACACTTTCAGGAAGAAATCTCTACGGACCTGTCTCCTGTGAGAAGCAAAGTAAGGATAAGCCGTCATGACAGTCTGTCACCAGAAAGGGGTAGCATAAATGAAAAGTTAACTACATCTAGTAAAATTGAAAAACAAGTAAATTCTACAAAAGTATATCGGCAAAGGCACACTTTGGAGGATTTGTCACCTAGGCAACGGACAAGATACGATTCCTCACCAGACCAATCGCCACCCAGACAAAAGACAAAGAAATTGCAATCAAAAGCTACTCGATATGATTCACCCAACTTGTCACCCGAAATACAGAGGACACGTCCTCCTACGGACCAATCGCCACCCAGAAGAACTAGACATGATTCCTCATCAGATCAATCGTCACCTAGGAATCGACAAAATTTTAGCAAAATGGTCTCCAAAGCATCTAGGAATAATTCGGCAAATGTGCTGTCAGTCCGAAACAATAGGAATGCAAGGTCAAGGTCACCAGTAGACCAATCACCACCAAGACGAACTAGACATGATTCGTCGCCCGATCAATCGCCGCCAAGAAATAGACGTCCACCGGTAAATCAACCAAGAATGACTCGTCATGAGTCTCCCGATATGTCACCACCTCGAAGAATGGGGAATAATAGACCAGCATCACTAGACCAATCGCCACGACGACGAAACAGACGCAACTCATCATCTGATCAATCGCCTCCAAGGAATACCAGACCATCTGCAAATCTAGCGAAACGGACCAGACACGATTCGCCAGATTTGTCACCTCCTCGGAGAAAGGCGAATAACAGATCGGTATTGTCAGATCAGTTGCCGCCAAGAAAACAAAGAACAGTAGATAATAAAAATCAAATTTCAAACAGAAGGAGACGTGATTCTCCAGATCTTTCTCCGCCTCGTAATACTAGGGGGTCATCCCCAGATCAGTCCCCACCTAGGAAGCAGGGTGGCCAAAGTGGTAAAAGATCTTTTAAAGGTGGAAGGGATGATGGTCATTCTTCAGATCAGTCACCACCAAGGAAACAAAAGAATTCAGGTAGTATTCGTTAGGCCTAAAAAAATACCAGTGGTTCCGATTTCATATCGTGAAAAAATTAGGGTCAGTAGGTCGGAATTTTTTTTTTTTTTTAAATATTTTTTTCATGGTTTTTGCTGGGCGATTTGCAATAGAGTCCCGACATCAATACTAACTGGAGATGCGTATTTTCTATGGACAAATTTAGGTAATTTGGTTCAATAATTAGTGTGACAACAGACACCATTTTGGCACGCTGTATGAGCAGCCCACAACCCGGAGAAAATAGGGTTGCACAGTCAACTGTTTTGAAAAAATAATGGGGTCAGCAAAAATGATGGTTCCGGAACCACAGGTATTTTTTTAGGCCTTGCCAGAAGGCTTAACATGATCATTTTATGTCAAGACAGCATCTTTTTAATTTAAAACCTATAAAATTGTATAGATCAATGGATCAAGAAGAAAAAGTCTTTGTTACTAATTTAAAAGTTGCTGGCTAGCACTGTGAAAATGCCGGTGACAGCCAGAAACCAGCTGCTATTTCAAACCCTGAAGCTATTATTTCAAACCCTGAAGCTGCTATTTCAAAGATCTGGGGGTGTATATCTATCCCATTTTCTTTTTTTGACATTCAGAGCGTAAAGCAGGTCTACATTCGGGGGTAGAACTGAGGCAAGAAAATGAACGAACGAGGCAGAGAGAAAATGAAATGTTCGCAAGAATGAGCTCAAGTACGACGGGCAAAGGTGCGGGCACTGTGCATCGTGATAAAACTGGGAGGAAGAGAGATTTCAAAGTGGAAGAAGCGAAGAAAAAAGAGGACGAAAGAAAGAAACAAGAAGAAAATGAAACGTTCATGGAATGGGGGAAAGGGTAAGATTACTTTTCTACCAGTGTGGATTATAACAATTTTGCTTGGGCCTATCATATATGCAATATCGAGCAGTCACAGACATTGTCCGACCCATTTGTGAAATTGTCTGACATAGAGAGGAATAAGCCATTCTGTCAGACATAAGTGAAACTAAGGTTTATTGTTTGTCCAACCCGAATGTATTGGTGTCCGACCGAACTGTAGCTTTGAACAACATTTATCAAAATGTACCCTAGCCAAGGGTTATGTACCCCATTGGCCATTGTCTGATGGCAAGTGAAATTTATTCAGGTAAACTAATTTTCATGTTCTGAGGGCAAGTGGTCAAAAAAGTTACGCCACCGATTTCTACCAGGCATTGCCAATCTTTCATCAGTTGCTTCTACTGTATTATTTTTAGGGTGCAACAAACTAAATCAACGAAGCAGAAAGTTGACGATGACCTGTATGAAATGAGTAAACCTTTAGCAAGATATAAGAATGACGAGGATCTTGACAAGATGTTGAGAGATAGAGAAAGAGCCGAAGATCCCATGTTGGCATTTATGCAGAAGCAGAAAGCAAAACAAGATGTTATAGCTGGCAAAAAAGGTAATGTAAAAATTGTACTGATAAATTAAGGGTGGCCAGTTTAGAACTGATAGAGTTATCCGATATAGATCACACTAGTTCGATTTAGGTTTTCTCCTGTAGTAACGCACCAGATATCTCATCAAAGACGAAGTGATGAAACAGTTTAGAACTGATAGAGCTATTCAGTATAAGTAAAGTCAGTATGGTTTAGCTTTCCTCTTGTAGTATTAAGGGGCAGATCTAGCCTCATTTGTAAAGAGGGGTGCAGATTTTTTCATTTTCCATCGGGTGATGCATGAGGGAGCCTTATTTGCCCACTCTCCTCTGCAGTCTGCAACGCTACTATCCCGGAACATTACCATTATTTGAGATGGCCGAATCTGCATGTTCTTCGACTTCGTTCTGTTACAGATTTTGTTTAATATATATAATTATCTTTTTATCACATTTGCGTGACTGGACAGTTTCTGTGCATAGCACAGTAAAATATGGCTGTATAACAACCTCGACATGTTTACATATTTAACCATGATATTTAACTAAAGCATTCTGAGTATTTTCTCGTGAGCTCACAAATCAATTAAATCGTTTCAAGAAATCGAGTAATCGACACGCGCTATAAAACAGCTGAAGTTCCACTAATCGACTATCGTTATTCGAAAATCAGAAAATGTATGGCAGATTTTCTTAGGGTGGTGCTGGACTTCTCCAGGGGGATGCTAGGGTCTGATACTGATTGGGGGTACTAGGCGGTCTGATCCAATTTTCGAAAACTTTTGCGTATGACTAAATAATGGATGAGCCCTAGTAGAAGTCAACAATATTAAGCTTGAAAATGCTGTCAGTATTAAATCAGTACAACTCACCAGTTAACATAACGGAATATGCCTCGAACATCGACTTCTCTCGCGAAGAAATCAAAAACAGGCATTGTGATTTCAGGCTTTCCCAGTCCGACCACAACAACTACGCCACCCGATTCAGCTGCCTGGGGACGCAAGAAAAAAATTGCAAAATACTTTAAACTGAAACTTTAAAGAATATGTTATCATTTGATTCGTGTACTACCATTTCAGCTTTTTAAACTGAAGAACAAAGCAATTATAAATTACATATATTGAAAGGCCTATAAAAGTCTGCTACCAAATATCACAATTCACAACTCACAAGGATTGTAATTGTCATATTAAATAATGACTATTAAATAAAACTTAAGCTAAAGTTAGCAATATAGCAAGCAATATATGATTCTGTACAATGCATGTCAATGAAGCCACAACATACACATTTTATACAATCTCTTTTGTTCTATGTAGGATTCCTTACAGCTCTACTGATAAAAATTTAAACCATTAGAATTGATAGTTATAACTGTACATTAAACAACAACGCTAATCAACATGATTAATTGATTATCTTAGAAAAAGTATCGAATGACAGTCAAATGGCACAACTCGGGCCAACAATCTAGTCCATGTCGATGAAAGCAGATTTTCTTAGGGTGGTGCTGGACTTCTCTAGTGGGGGTACTTGACACCAATAGGTGGGGGTGTGCACACTCTGCACCCCCAAGGTAGATCCGCCCCTGGTAGTACTGGACCTCTAGGAGAACAGTTAGTAATCATAGATATATCCTGTGTAAATAAAGTTAGTTTAGTATATTGCCCAATTTTTCGTTTGAATTGAGTTTCTTGCCTTATTCATTGCTAGAAAAACCCAAGTACAGAGGACCCGCTCCCCCACCAAACAGATTCAACATTCCCCCCGGCTACCGCTGGGATGGCGTGGACAGATCAAATGGATTTGAAAAGAAACGGTTTTCTATGCTGGCCAATAAGGGAGCGACGAGAGAAGAGGCATACAAATGGAGTACAGAGGATATGTAGGTAGATGAGGGGTAGAAGTTGTACAGTATACAGTAGTTACATAGATGAGGGGTACCGTCGAAGGTATATACGAGTTTCGTACTACCATCCGTAACGAGCCTGGTACCAGTTAACCAGTAATAAAGTCGGGAAGCTGTCGTTAGTACTGGTTACTTGTGGGATTCCGCTTCCCCATAGGAAAGAACATCTTAAAATGACTTTATTATATTGCTGTAATATTCTTTTGTAATAATCATAATTCAATATGTACAAACATTCAACTTTTACGTGGGAAAAGACACTATTTCTATCTGTCCATCCTTCGATGCCAACGACGGTAGGAATCGGAAAATTAGAATTTCAGCATTGTCAAAGTGGAAACACATCTACAAATATTTTACGGGGGGGTGAGCATAGAGATTATAAATAACACTAGAGGAGGCATCGAGTTTAAAAATTGGGAACGCAGCTAATGGGGGGCAAATTCAAGTCCCGGATATAAAATCGTGTTCTCATTGGCTGATTTGAAACTCGTCACCAATGGGAACACGAATACACATCCGGGACTTGAATTTGCCCCCCAATAGTCGCGTTCCCTTTTTTTTACTGAATTAAGATTACAATGCCTCCTCTAGTGTTATTTATAATCTCTATGGGGGTGAGCATTTGTGCTTCGAAGGGGGAGCTTTGACAGTGCTTCCATTTTCAAGGAAATTTCCTTTTCTAAGGAAATTCTAGTGTCGAAAAGGAAAATCTAAGGAAGAGAAAAAATCTAAGGAAATCTAAGGAATTTTTCCGAACAACTTAAATATTCATCCAAGTGCATTAGTGCAGAAGAAAGTTTCACTATTTCTTGAATTTTGAGTGAATCATGATCAATTATGTTTAATTAAAAATCTGTTTTTAACTTTTTCCTCGTGTTTCCGAAAACGTCTGAAAGTTTTTG